CACACACACACACACACACACACACACACACACTCAGAGCTAGCTGGGTGGCAGCTCTTACCTGAGCTCCGGGCTATCAATCTCGATGGCCACCGTGTGCTGAGTGTTATGCGGGTTTTTAAGAGCAAACTCGAAGAACTCAGCCGTGCCCAGCGTGGCGTACAGTGTGTGGTGGGTGGTGATGGCCTGGCTCAGTACACTGGTGATGCTCTCTGTCTTGGTGCGCTCCCGGTAGGCATCAATGACCTGCAGGTCCCGAGAGTGCTGTGCACGGACACTCTGCTGTGCCTACAAACACCAGGGGCCACATCTGACACCTCTGAGTCCTTGCTTTGCCAGCCCCCATCCCGAGGCATCAGATTTATTTTGGAAACCAATTTCTCCTTCTTTAGCCATGTGGTCTGGAAGTGCTACCTGTCCCCCACACTCCAGGGATCTCAGTGCTTGTCAGAATAGAACAGAGGACCACATCCCGGCTTGCCTCCGTCCCAAATCCTCCTAAGAGACCCCTTTAACCACCAAGGAAAGGTACCAGGCATAGCCTAGGGAATTAGGCACAGTGATGTCAAACAAGAAAGAACCTCACGGCCACAGGACCCACCCAACAGGTACCTGCATGGTGCCGACGCCTGCCTGGGACGACAGTCCACAGAGGAGATGTAAGCCCCGTGTGGTAGCCCAGCATCCAGCAGCCTCAGTCTGGGTCCACACCTGACAACCAGTCTGTGAGGCCTAACTGCCTCCTCCCCCGCACCCTCGCGTGCCAGGGGTCCCAGCCTGCAGCTGCACTGAGCCCCTCAGATCCAATGCTAAGGAGGCTGAGACCGCAGGGGGGGGAGGGGGGCTGCCTAAAAGGCCTTTGGACATGAACTCATTTGAAGTAAGGATACCGAAGCTCTGGTCCCCGAGTGGGAGAAACCTTTCAGTAAAAGATTTCCAACCTGAAAATATCCCCTGGTGGCCAAAATGTCCACTTCTCTCCTCGCCTGCAAACAGGGTGTAGGAGGAAGGTGAGGGGACCCAACTCCGGGAACAAGCCACGGGCAGCCTCTCACCAGCAAACTGATCCTGCGGCTGCCAGAATCCCCTCCGGACTCCTGCAGGCGCACCAGACGCATCCTTTCCAGCTTGCGCCTGTGCACAGCATCTGCCTCCTGGCCCGCAGCCTGGGGCCCCTGGCCGGCCCGAGTGTGGGTCAGCAGCATGGCGGCCAGCTCGCTGTCCACGTCAGCCAGCTTCTGCGCCTGCACCACACGTTTTCCTGTGGAAAGGGCCAGAGGAAGGGTCAGGGATGGATGTGCAGAGGAGTACCAGCAAAGCCAGCGGCTGGTCCCTAGGGAGCTTCCAGGGTGGATCCTCTCCGAGTCACTCGACTGATAAAGATGCATATTTGGGCCTGGTTCCTCACAGCAGCTCCCCTTCCACAGTCCCTCAAACCTAAGGAACTCTGGCCCCAGTCCTTAGCTCACTCCAGTAGATGATTTTCTAGGAGGAAAGCCAGATACTCGGGTTTATAGTTGTGTGGTAACACCGTCTCCTGAACTCAGGTAGCCTCGGGTAGAAGATGGGGTGGTCACTGCTGCAGAGGCCTGCTTCTGAGGTACCTCCGATTGACTCCCCAGCCCCACCTGTGTGCACACGGCACGATCCCCAAGTTCCTATCAGAAGTGGGGTTCACAGAGGTCGCCTGGTCCCAGCACTGCTCTCATCTGCCTTTTGGAGCGGGCACTCTGATGTGGGGGAGCTCAGATCCTGGACTCAGGATGAGCTGGCCACAGACAGCAGGGTAAACACCACCTATGCCCCCTTCCCGTACAGAGCTGGGGTTAGTGGTGCTGGTGGAACCGTGCTTGGTGACAAGGCCACATCACAGGCTGACAGTAAGAATCCAGGTAGGGCAGGTCAAAGGGGGATCCCACCTTGAGGCCTGGGTCCTCCCCCGCTTACAGAGCTTCCCAGGGCCTGGCTCCACCTGTCCTCACACAGTAACCCGCTACGGTGCTCTGTAGGACGAAGCCCGGCTGTCCCTCCACTCACCACCACTCCCTGTTTCCAGGCTCCTCACCACCACTCTATTTTAAATTCATCTCACGGCTTTTTCAGTGTCACAGGCTGGCTTCGACATCTTAAGTGACAGCCTGAAGGAACACTTTGTGTGTCAGAGCTCAGGCGTGCATGGGAAACCCAGCCTGGAATCTGGTCTGAGCAGCCTGTGATCATGGCCCAGGAGAAACAGCAGGTTGGGGGCAGCCACACAGCCAGGATTCAAGATGAGTTCAAGGGACAGCACGTTTACCCCAACAGTTGCCTCCCCTGACTCCAAAGCAACCAGAAATGGGGTTCTGGGGGAGTCATGTGGGAGCACACTTCCCTAAACACAAGAAGAGCCTAGAACTTCTCAAGGTCTCAGGGAACTTCTAATCCAGAGCCGCACCCCAGGGATCACAGACCCTTGCAGGGAACCCTCCGCCCACCCATCACAGACTGCAGGGCCCGGGACTCCAGGGCTCTTTCTCTCAATGCGCCGTCACTCACGCCAGCTTCCTGGGCTGCTCAGAGGGGCTAACTGGGAATGAAGCACCGTGACCCCAAGTAGGGAACTCAGGCCCAACCTTACCCCTCACCCTAATCATCATCACGATTATGTGACCTCCCTTGCCTTAGTTCACTGAATATTAAAACGAGGGTCTGGCCTAGAGCGACAGGACATACGTGGACCGTGGGTCCCTCTGAGCACTGCTGAGCCCTCGGCCTCTTTCTGAGGGAGAATGTATAGTTCTGCCTATAGAGTCAGGAATTAGATGGGCAAGATTCCCAAGGTCCTGTGACGTGGAATGTAGAGGATTCACCAAGCTCCAAGCCATGGCTCGGACATCCTCTTCTCAAGACACAGCTGCAGCCCAAGGTGGACAGAGCTGGGACCACCCACGTAAGAAAGCTCCGGAGTCACCATCTCTAACATCTGAGCAAAGAGCTCCTTAGAGGGCACAGCCTCCTCTCCTTCCAACGACAGGCTCACATTCAAGCCCTCGGGCCCTCGTGTTTAAGGGAACAGAAAGACTCCAGACACCCCGTGGAAGTGATTTTCCTCAAACCTAGGACTTTCCAGTCCAGACTCAAGTCTCTCATTCCCTAGCTTCATAAACAGCCAAGGAACCAGGGAGGAGTTTCTAATCTGCTTTTAAAACTCAGTGTCAGGGCGGGAGGTGGCTTGGTGGAGATGTTTCCTGTGCACAAGGCCCTCGGCACACATGTACAAAGTCAGGTGTGGCAGCATTTACCTGCAACCCCAGCACAGGGAGGTGGGGGCAAGAGGATCCCAGGTGCTCACTACTCACTGGCCAGACAGTCTAGCCAAGTGGTGAGCTCCATTCTCAGTGAGAGACCCTGCCTCAGAAAATAAGGGGGAAAGCTACAGCCACTCAAGGCTGACCTCTGGCCAACACACATGCTCGCACACACACGCACACATGCACACACACTTCTCATCTCTTCCCTGTGTGAGCAGCTCAGATTTAGGTAATTAGCAGAATTACCATCTCCCTATAAGACATCATGATTGGATGCAGGACCAGACCTAGAGGAGCTTCAAGGTTCAACAACCCTGTAAGTTCCTGGGGCCATTATCAGGTACCCCAGCTGGGCATAACCAACCAACCTTGAATCCAGACACTAGGGCAATCAATGGACAGGAATGTGAATACACACCGCATACATCCCCATCACACACACACAGAGGCTTCTGCCTCAGTGAACCACATATACCCCACCTGCCACCCAGATGTGGCCACAGTCTCAACTCACGTCTGGGGCCTCCTGGTATGAGGAGGCTTCCCCCAGAGAAGAAGCTGGCTCCGTCATTTGAGATGACCCGAGACCTGGATGGTGGCAGCGAACAGGAACCTCTTGCTCTTGGCTCACACATGTGACCTAAATGAAAAGCACTCTCATAAGATAGGGCCCCAAGCAGGGACTGGTAGACCATACCAGCTCTCCCGTGTGGAGCCCGGGCCTGCAGATGCTTCTTCATCTCCACTCTCAGACTCACTAGTATGCCCAGGTGCCGGCTGCTGCGGTCTGAATGCATCCCGCAAGAGGGATTGTGGGCAGGAGATGGGCTGTCTTTGCACTGTCCTCTCCAGGCTTGGACCCCTCCCCCACCATACAGAGGTCTCCATTTGATCACACAGTTCATGCAGACTGTCTCCAACGCTAACCCGGGCCTGGGAGAGCGGAGGCTCTAGGAAAGTCCTCTCCATGTTCAGGGGAAGGCAGATGGGATTTCATGCTGAGGCCTCTGCAGAGCAACAGAGGCCTCGGAGAAGGCTGGGTGACAACGCCTGCCAGCAGATCCAGAGCAGCACTTTGAGAGGCTGCAGGTGGTTACAGCCCCGAGGCGGCAGCGTCTGCCCACAGGCATGCTTTTCCAGAGCACAGACCCACAACTCCACAGGGGTCAACCACCTGGGTGAGGCAGAGCCTAGCTGGGGAATCACATTCCAGACAGAACCACCCAACTGCCAAAGCACACCTGTGCAGTGCATTCTCCCAACCTCAGCAGGGCAGGGCGGAGCACATGCTGGCACAGTGTCCCCGCTGCCCCCCCCCCCAGACTGGCAGCAGCAGGAACCCCTGCCCAGGCTGCCCGCCTCTCTGATGTCCCCCTGCCCGTCCTGCCTTCCTGTTCACAGTGACCTCTTCCTCAGTCTAGATGTACCTGCTCTTCACCCTCCTGTTCACAGGCTTCTGTTTTACAAGGACATCTCAGCATTGGGCTCATTTGCACACCCACAGCGCTCCAGGCGAGCCATGGCTTCTGCCTGACCCAGGTCTCCGGCTACAGAGGTGCTCTTTTGATCTCGGCTGCCTGACAGACGCATCCTCACGGATGTGGGCTGAGGTGGCCTGGCCTTCCATCCTCCGTGGGGTCCAGCTGGTCTATAAGCAGCTGAGAATAGGTGGCCCAGGGACAGCAGCCTGGATTTCAGATTCTGCAGCTGGGGACCCCGGCTGTGTCAGGGCCCTGAGACCTTCCCTCCACAAAGACTGGCTAGGACAAAGACTGTGTAGCAGAGGAAGGCTGGGTGGAGTCAGCGGGTTCAGAGAGCAGTCAAGTGGAGAGGCGACCACCTGGAGAATGCTCCTTAGAGCCCCGAGTATGCAAAGCCTCTTCCACCAGAAGGCTCCAGTCGTTTTTAAACCGTCTTTGTCATCCCTCGGCTGCCTGCTGCCTGGCTGCCTCTCCTGCAGGCCAGAACAGTTAGTTCCTCACAACCAAAGCTCTATGGAGCACTGGATCCCCATCCTTCTCTCACTGCTGCAGGGCCAGATATGGAATCCCCACTCAGCACCTTCCAAAACCAACAGGGCAGACAAATGCCAGGCCAAGCCACCTGCTCACAGCTGAGATATCTACTCTCATGGCTAGTTTCTGTGTCCAGTGCTAGCTTCTGTGTCCAGTGCTAGCTGCCACACTCCTGGGGGCCAGAGGGCGGGGCTGACTTGTCCCCCTAATCTCTTCCCAGCAGGGAGTCAATGGCTGACCCTCATCCTGCCCCCACCCCAGCTCTGGCATTGGTTCCGAGGCCCATGATAATACAACAGCCTCAGCTGTCACTTGCTCAGACGTCCTTGCCACATCCCCACAGACACGCAGTCTCGGCTTCACAGATCTTGCTGCTGCCACACATGCAGAGCTGACCCGGGGCCTGTTTCCCACCCACACATGCAGAGCTGACCCGGGGCCTGTTTCCCACCCACACATGCAGAGCTGACCCGGGGCCTGTTTCCCACCCACACACGCAGAACTGACCCGGGCTCCTTCCCACACGAACGCAAGGCAGAGAGGGCGGCAGCTTGTGGACTACAGGGTCTTGGCAAGCTCTCAGTCACATCCCAGGGAATCACTCCAAGACGGAACAAGCCTGTCACCCTGCGGTGGGAACACTGAGGCTGGCACACTGAGTTGGCCGGGGTTTGTCCCACATGGGGAGGAAGTTCAGGAATTTCCCTAGCTTTCTTGACTCCCATCCCCTAGTGGCCAGTGGGTCCCTCCATCAGGCCTTGGATCTATCCACTCCCCACCAAAGTGAGCCCTGGCCTATGACGTACACTGCAGACATACGCTGCTCCGAAAGACAAAGACTGGGGAAGACACATCAAGGTCAAGATCAGTCTGCGTGGCAAGGGCAGGTGACCACATTTCTTCACCCTCAGGATCACAGAGGGTGGGTGGTGACAGCAGCCTCAGCAGTGAGTTGAGCTGGACACACAGTCACCCCGGGACAAGGCATTCTGCTGGCCCTGGTGCTATTTCCCCTTGCAACATCCATGCTCACGGGGTCCGCTTGTCAATGACGGAAATAAACCGTGTGAGGTGAACTCACCTCCACGTGTGTCTTCAGAAACAGCACAGGGCAGCGGTGTTGCCATCGGGTATAATCTGCCATCCTAATTTGGCACAGACTTTCTTCCCCTTTAGGGGACAGGAGGTTATGCTGGAGACACCAACTCATCTGCAGCAGGGGTAGAAATACCCTCTAAGGACACAGGGCTCCCAACGTGAGTCCACGGGGGAAGCAGAACGGGCCACCACTAGGTGTCAGTCCCACACCAGGACACAAGTTCATCACCATGGATGCTCTCTAAAACCTAAGCCTTGCCATCATAGGTCCCAAGGACATCAGCCTTGCTGCCCGCCTCCCTGGAGGGCTTCTGCAAGAGGGCTCCCAGGTGACCCTTGGCCACCCACCTACTTCACCAGCATAACTGGAGGAGAAGAAAGCAGTGTGGGCCATTCAATCCGTGAAGGACAAAAGACAGCATGAAAAAAAAATCAGCAAAGAACATCCAAGGATCGGGGCGGAGAAACCATGCAGCGAGCCAGCGAGCCAGCGAGCCAGCAGCGGAGAGCTGGTGGTCGCCGGCACCTATATACCGTCCCACGCAGCCATCCCACTGTGAATGAAGCTGCTGGGTGCGGCCACCAGGCCGAGGTGTGAGCTTTGTGTCTGTCACCCTAGAGGCCTCCACGGCCAGCACCCAATTTGCTGAAACATGACTGCTACACCAGATGGTTGTATAAAGAAATGAAGGCCACAACATTTCCGCTACCTAACAAAAACTGGCGGCGGGGGCAGACAGGTGGCCCCACCAACACACGGCAGCACATCGTCCTTCACTGGCGCACACACCAGTGTCCCTGGCGCTGGCCATCTCGGGCACTCCCCCACGGGCTTATCTCCCTCTTGCAGGCAAAGTATGAAAATGACAGTTTAAGATAACATATAACGGAGCCCATCTTTCTTCTGAGATAAGATTTTCCAACCTGGAGTCACTGCACATCTGTGGGCCGGTGAATTAAATATGAAAAGAGCCGCCGGGGTTGGAGCTGGGCACGTCCTGCGGCTCCCCGAGTCGCTTGGGCTCCTGAGTAAAGCCTGCTTCTCACAGGAGCCTCGTTTATTTCTCCAGAACCTAATTGAGTTTTGCTGTTTCTATATTGTCTATTTTCCAAGCTGCCTTGGATTTACATTTGTAAACAAGCAGGCAGAAACCTCCAACCAGACTTAATGAGCTGTGTGCTCGCATCTCTGCCACTGCCGCTCCGCAAACCCGTGCTTCAGCACAGGCTGGATGTGGCCCGTGGGGCTCTTGGACTTAAAACCAGGCTGGGCTTTGAGGAATGGAAAAATCCCTAATAAGATGGCAGAGATCTTGGTCTCAGCCTCGCAAAGGCCTCTCCCACAACCAGTCCTGCACTTTCGATTTTAGCAGGAAAATCACCCACCCTTTGGGGTACCCCCAAAGGACAAGTAGTGAGGACGCTGCCGTCTCTGAAGGTTCTCTACTGGCTCAGCTCCCCAGGACAGGTGCCTGACCTTATGCACCTAGATGTCTCTGTCTATTGACCCCTCAGCCTCTCCATTCTCAGTGAAAGCCTGTGGAGGGTCCAGGCAGGACCACCCAGAGCCAGCCCCAACCGCCGGCCCTCATTGGTCAGGCAGGAGCAATAACAAGAGCAGGCTGCCGTCAGTCCCTCTGCTGAGGCACCTTGAAACGATGTCACCGTGCTCAGAAGAAAAGCTTTTCTCCTCCCGCGGTTCCTGAGCTACACAGAAAACTCAGGATTGCTCTCGCCTCTCTCTGATGGGCAGTTCTGGGGCTGGGACTTTAAGTCAGACCCTCCAGCACCTCGTCACTCCATTGGAGGGTGGTCACAGGATGACCCATGGACAAGCCTGAGAAGACAGGTGATTCCAAGCTCCCACCAGAACCCAGGCAGTGAATGCCTGCCACCAACACAGGTGCAGTGGCCAAGGTCAGGCTGGAAGCCATGCTCACCCAAGTCTTGGTTTCCTACCAAGTGTGGGATGCCTGAGGTGAGGCTACCCCTCCTGCTCTAGCTGGGGAAACAGGCGCTGGAGAAATGACACAGGACCAGGAGAACTAGGTGGAGCTGCTGGCAATCTTACCCACGTTGGCTAAGGTCAGGTGCAGGCGGCCCTTCACCACTGTGTGGACACCAATGGGCTTGATGCTGCCAAAGCCAGCCACATCACCGCTCACCACCATCGTTTCCTGTTCATACTCAGTGGCCATGACCTCCAGTTCATGTGAGACCTGAACAGCTGGCCGCCCTTGGCGGAGGAGGTGCTGCAGAGGGAAGAGAGACAGTGGTGAACAGCTGGGTCCAGCCACTGCCACCGCAATGGTCAGCAGAGGACCCTGGAGGAGGAGGAAGGCAGGTCCGTGAAGGGCGTCAGCTACAGAGCGCTAGTCACCAGCCACACAGGAGCCAACTTCGTAGAAACATCAGCTTTAACACAGCCCAGTCTGCCCTCTGAATAAACACTGGGTGGCACTGTGGTGCACCGGGGACCTGGCAGCTGCCTGGTAGGAGCCAGCCTCCAAAGGGAAGAGATACAGGCAACAGGGATGTGACAGCAAAGGTGAGCAGGAGGGGAGCCAGGCCAAGGTGCACACCGCAGAGCCCACGAGGACAGGACCACAGGCTTCAGTGTGGCTCAAGGAGGGGCCAGATGGGGTCACGGGATATGGGGACCTCTGGACCTGGGCTGAGGCAGCACGAAGCCCTGTGTGCCAGTGGGGCAGGTGGGCACAGTGAGTGGCACAAAGGCCTGCCCCAGGACAGCGTCGGGGGGCTCTCTCGAACCCCTCTCTCCAGGTACCATCTTCAGGCTTCTGCCTGCGCCCATGCAAGGCTGGGGCACTGGGGATGGACTCAGGCTCCCAGCCAGCCTGGACCTCATCAGCTACGTGCCCTGAAGCTTCCTCCTACCAGACAGGTGTGTGGAACCAGGCTACAGTCCAAGCTTCAGTAACCCTTGAGTCTCTCCTACAGAAATGAGAGCACCTTCTCTGGGAGTGAGGACGCCACACTGGGTCCTCCACACTTTGAAGGCTGCCAGCCCAGTGACAATGGCACACCACAATGCACAGCCATTCATGGCTCAAGAGCCCCTGGTATTGGGAAATAGGACAAGGCCTCTGGAGAATGACCCGGAAATACAGAAAAACATCTAGCATTTGCAGGAAGCAAGGAGAGGTGAACACGGTGTCGGGTGCCTATCACAGTGGAAGGCTGGTTGCCAAGATGGCGGCACCTCTGGAGGGAAGGGTGTGGCTGTCGAGCCCACCAGGAGGAGCTGGCCTCGAGGGCCCCAGCTGCTCTGTCATCTGAAGCCCCCACTCCATTGCTTCGGATGTGACATCAGGGCACACAGAGGCAGAGAGCGTGGGCGTTAGGGCAGGGACTGTGGAGTCTCCGCGGTGTTGTTTTTCTGTGTGACTGTGGACTTGTCTCCACTGGAAACGGGTTAACAGGAGGCCACACTAAGGTGGCCAAGGGCCTCCTTGAGAGAAGCACGGAGGTCGTTAGCTCCAGCTGCACACGAGCCCTTAAACCCAACTTGCATTCTTCTTTGCCTTTTAACTTTAAAACTGAAGTCGAGAGGCCTGAGAGGCAGCTCAGCAGTCAAGAGCATTTCTCTCTTCCACGAGTTCAGTTCCCAGCACCCACAAGCAGCTCACAGCAGAGCTTCCTGCAACTGTGGCTTCAGGGCACTGATTGCCCTCTTCTGGCCTCTATGGGTACCTGCAGGCATGTGC